TGCCTTTTTCTCAGGGCAAGATGTTGCACCTCCTGTGATTTATGAGTGCACCAGTGTATTCAGCTATAAAACATACCATTTTCTTGCAACAACTGAAATTTGCCTTTTTCACCCATATATGGTTACAAGAGCAAATTAACTGAGTTAAAAACAATAATAATAATAATAATAATAATAATAATAATAATAAAAGCAACACTGTGGAGCACAGTGACTTCTGCAATAAAAACTCTGGAAGACAGATTCACACAAGTCCTCCACCACCTATGGAGGCTCATACCTGCTGCACTCCCATCAGTGCATCAGTGCTATGGTACAAAATAAAACCCAGCAAGCCTACAGCAAGCCAGCTGCCAGAAGACAACTCCAGATATAGAAGGCATCAGCCAAAGGAATGGCTCCAGTGCTGACAATCCTCCATGACAATTGCACAATGTTTTTTCCAGGAGGGCAGCATGACTAATTCATTCGGGCGAGGCTTTTGTGCTAACATCTTAATTCAAACAGAGATGGTGTAAGATTGTTCCTAAATGTTCAGTCAAAGGTTTGCGTCCTTATTCTGACTGTTGATATTTTAAAGCAAGAATCACTGCTTCTAAAACCCACATAACTCAAAGAAAAGAGGGTATCACAGGTCATTGAAAACACAACAGGACAGAGCACCAAGGCAGCACACCTCCCTAACCCACCTCATGCTGTGGGCTGAGGGACATAAACCCACCCAGACTCCCTCAGGGCTTTCCCACCTCTGATTTCTTTGATCCCAGCAATGATCTCCCAGAGCTGATTGATGCCCAATGGCTATCCAAATATTTAAGAAATATTTGCAGTGTTCTGACTACATGCAAGTACAATGTGTATCTGAAAAAGCAGCATAATGACTACCAGCAGGTAGCCTAGGAAATTGGTTAATTTAATCTCAGCAACCGACTCCTCCAGACTGACTACTCTCTTTTGTTGCTGTTTCTGAGAGGTGGGGGGACATCAGCTGAAAGACTCTGTTGAGCTAACATAGTACAAGGTGTTGACTAAATGTCACAGAAAATGTTATCTTAGAGGTCACAGACCACTTCACAAACTTAAAAGGAAGGTACACCAGAAGCAAGGACAAAGAAACTGAAAAAAAAAAAAAAAAAATCTTCTCTGAGCAGTGGTCAATAAGGGGTTGTACACAACAGTTGATGGCAGAAAGGAATTCACAGTGAAAGATGGTGAGGAATACTAAGGCTGATAGGGAGTCAAAGGATAAGGAAACAAGAGGAGAGCATTTAATTAGTCTGGAAGATATGTGGAGTAAGAAAGAGAATAGAAGCTCAAGTATATGGACATGCCAGCAATATTGTTTTAACTTGGTTATAAATCATTGCTCATGGTTTTCTCATGTCAAGAAAAGAAACTAGTAATACTACTAGACTGGATAATCAAAGTGAACAGTCAGCTAAGGTGATATTAATTGTATTTGACTGATGAGAAGGGGCGGGAGAGTGAATAGCTGGCAGAGGGAAAATGTAAAATTTGATGCCTGCTAAATGAGGCATGATGAATAATGGTTTTTCTTGTCAAAACCACTGCTAGATTCCCTTCAAGCTGTGAGCGGGTATTCAGGGACACGTGTCTAGTTTTAACCAGGGGTCTGATCCTTTTCCTAATAAAGGTAACAGAAATTACTATAACTGATGCAAACAGAAGCTGAAGAAGACCAAGATAATGTCCTACAGCCACAAGCTGAAATTCTGTTTTATTTTACAAAATGTACATCCAAAGCAAGTTAAAAACAATCCAGGGAGGGTATCTATTATCTTGCATGAACAGCCAGCAGTTGTTGACAGGAGTTAATAGCATTTCCCATGAAATTTGGCTTAATCTGTTGGGTTTTTTTTGTTGAAACCTATTTCTTTGTGTGTATTTATTAACTAAGCAGAATTTCTGACAAGATACTCTATAACCAAAGCTTTAAAAGTGTGTCTTAGCTAAATAAAATAATATAGCAACAACATAAGTAATTCAGATTTTAGGATAAGGTTACTCAGAGAGGTAATATCAGTGGTTTGTGTTTATCTTACTTGTTTCATCTTTTCAGAGATTGTTCAGCTGTTAGCCTATTCTTTTTATGTGAGTTGTCCTGTTACAATGTGCATGAGGCTGAATTGCACTTTTATTTTTAGGGAAACAGTAGCAATTAAATCTATCTGTTGGCTGCAATCTAATTCATTCTAAAACTGCTCTCAGTTTCATTTAATTTTAGAGAATCAGGGCATTTCCTATCATCATTATACTAAAATGAATTTGTGGCAGGACAACTGATAAATCATTGCTCCCTTTAGTTTTCTTGTTATGCAGAAGAAGACTGTCCAATTATTTGGACAACAGCCCCAGGGGTTATGTACAGTGATTCACTCCACATAAACCAATAAACATGCTGAAAGTCAGAAGCATAGCAGAGATGTGCTATAAAAGCAGTGACGCCTGAGATTCATTCTCTCTAGCTTCCTTTCAGACATATTTTCTGTATCATTACTGAAGCAAACTGATGCTGGATGTTTAACAGCAGGCTGCAGAAATTATATCTAGGCATAGAACAAGAAAGCACGTCATGGGGATGGATTGCTTACTGAGCAGAGCTACAGTCCCTGCGAGGTCCTACTGAATCCAATGAAGAACAGGATGAGAAGCAAGGGCTCTGTGGTAAAAATCCTGCAGGGAGGCCATGTGGTCTCCACATCCAAAGTTTTAAAATAAAGATCAAAAAGAACCTCAGCCAGTTGTTTCAGTGCAGTTTCTTGCATCTCTCCCAACACATCTGTTACTGGCCACCTCAGATGACTGTGAAACAAATGGACCTGGTGACAGTCTGACTGCGGTGTCCCAGGTACACAGAAGACAATTAATGTTTTGAGAGATACAGAAGTTGGATTCCCAGTCTACTTAGTTACGGGATTGGAAATGAGACTGCACCACCAAGATCCAGGTCCAAATTCAAATTTTCCCCAAATTTGGAGGGACTGAGAACCAGAATTTCAATTTCGGCCCATTTTTGACTGGATTAAATAATGATCTCAAGGGACGGCAAGGTCTGTTTATGATTCATCCTGATGGCTTCTAGATTACAACTGTACACCACCACCCATTTATATCACCGAAATCAGTAAGCAGGCCTGAAGACGTTATGGAGCCCTTCTAACCCTTGCAAACAAAATGAGGCACAAGCAGAGGTCAGGCTGAAAACGGACTTGAGTGCATGTAAGGACTTGAGTCCAGCATCAGCCCACAATGTAAAGTCAGAGGTTACACCAGTTATATTTGAGAGCTGATCAGTTGATCACAGGGAGGCTTGACTTTGATGGCTTACCTTTCACTATCTTTGTGGCCCTTTCATTATGGCTTTCCAGCCAGAGCTCTGCTATGCTGCTGTAGTACTCAGGAGCTGACCTTTGCTGGGATTCATCTCACTGCAGAGGCTCCAGGCTCCTGCTGCTAAGGTCTTGTAACCATCCCTCCCCCTTCACACATGTACAGTGACACCTTCATGCCTCGCACACACCTACAGCCACAAGCACTGCCTAAACACTTCATCATCTCCCTCCCTCGGACACAGCTTGCATGGTGCCTGCTGATACGCTCTGCTGTTCACCCTGCCATCAGGAAAAGCAGCAACAGCAGGTTTGCAGATGACCTGGAAGCACCTACCTCCTGTCCATCCATACTGGGAGAGATGTCAGATCAAGCTCTAGCATGGATGTGTGCCAGAAGAGGAGTCTGCGTTTCTGGGCAGTGTTTGAGCAATTGAATAGACAGGAGCATGTGTGGACCACATGCAGTCTGTAGGTTGCCACTCAGACCACACTGTCATGCATAATTCAGAGAGAAGACACTGCATGCTATTAAAGCCTTTTATGTAACAAAGCACATGGTGTGGAAAGGACAAATAAATAGATACTCAGACTCACTACCCAGGTAGTAAATAACTTGAGGTTTTGATTTCTCCTATTTTGGGAAAGGTTTTTTTGTTTGTTTTGTTTCATGTCAGTCTTTTTTACATATTCAACTTATGAATTGTAATGCTTGTGAAAGTAAAAATACTAGCCCTGGAGTGACATAAGAAAGCTCCACATAAACTTCTAAGCAGCCTTCATCCCAGCCTGAAATACCCCTGCTGATCCTACGCAAAAGCTGCCAGTTCCATACAACTGCCTGCTGTTGATGTGACCTTTCAAAGATGTTACAGTTGAAGCGAATTACAGAAGAGTTCAGTATGCCTCAAACATGCACTAGGAAGAAAGCACAGTTGCGTGAGTTGTTCAGGAAAGAAAAAAGTGCCATTATATATCTGCTTTGCTGGAAACCAGCCCTTCATTTCTCTCTAACAACAGGCTCTCCTATCCGATGTCCGTTCTGCAAGGAGTATGCATTGGTTTGTCTGAAAACATCAGCATAAGCAATAACAAAAACCTAAGGAACTTTCACTCCTTTGTTTTCACCATTCCCCCACCATGTGTGAGTGAGAGAGATTTTTTTTTCTCCTATTGCTTTAATTGATTTTAGCATCATGTCCCTTAATCAAAGAGATGCTGAGGTTGACGGGGACCCTTTGCAGGTCATCTAGTCGACCCCCTGCTTTCCTGCAGGTTTCTAACCTCTGTATTATAAGCACGTAAAAGCAGAACACAGGCAGGAGGTGTTCAGCTACTGCACTTTTCAAAGGACACGAGAGTCTTTCTGTCCTATTAAATTTTCCATATGCTCTGTTCTGTTTTTTCACCACACAGAAAAGGTATGGTGAAACACCATACAGCCATATGAGGAACGGGAAAAAAGGTCCATTACAGAGAATGGCCAGAAACACATGGTCAGGAGAAGCCTTTCATGACAAACATGCAGTGGCTTTGAGAATTACTTTGGCTCCACAAGTGAAGCAGACATAAATTAAGCCTTTGTAAATTCAGATAACTATTAACACAATGTATTGCTAATGGTAAAACTGCAGAGAAGGTCATACTTACACCGGATATCTTCTCCCAGAAAATGCTACATTTGAGGCAACTTTTGTACACAGAAATTCACAGAATTTGCAGCTCCAATTCCTTGTCCTGAGATTATTTGACACAGCCTGGAAAAAAAAAATAAATAAATAAAATAAAAAATAAATAAAAAGTCACCTATGTAAGAGATATTCTGTACATATAAGACAAAGTCCATGCTGAAAAGAAGTCACAGCCAGAGCATCTTGACCAAGCACATGCACTGTCCTACACACCTGAGGCAAAAACAAATGTGCAGACACCTGTGTGCTCACACCGGTGTGGGCTGAGGCTCTCCTTTGCAGAGAAGCTTGATGGGGGTGAAGAGCTCTCATCTGTGAAATTTTGGAGAGAAACTAACGAGTTTTGACTTTCACCTTAAGCAAGCCAAGCAAAACATTTGGTAGCATTAAACTGACAGGCAAACACTATTCCAGTCTGAAGTAAAAAAGGAGAGTAGGTGGGCCACGTCAATATGAGCTGTGCCTGAAAAATCAGCTAGTACAAATCGATGGAGGCCGAGTTATAAGACTTCCCATTCACACACAGCAGAGGGCTGTGTTGTGCTTAGCAGAGCTAGAAGTGACAGTGAGGAGGCTTCAGAAGTGCAGAAAAAGCAGAGGCCCTGAGAGAAAGAAAAACCCATGTCACTGTAGGATGGGAGTTAAGGAGGATGAGGACGACCTCCTAGTTTTCCTTCCTCAGAGCACAGGAGGTCCTTCCATCACTTCTGCTCCATCTCAGTAGCTTACAGTAAAATGTGAACATTTGGCTATGCATCCCATATTCCTCCCAGACAAGCTTACCTCTCTTTTGGTCTCGCTGAGTTTTAATTATGAACATTAATACTTTTGCTACTGACATTTATCCCAAGAGAGAGTGGCCACTCTTTGCTGCCGCTGTATAAATCAATGCTCACTCTCTGCTGGTGCAGTACGTGCAGTTCTGCTTGCTCCACTACAAAAGGGATGTATCAGTGTCTGGAGCATTGCTGGGACAAATGTCACGGATGATTAGAAACCCAGGAAGTATACAGCAAGTGCAGTGAAACAGGACTCTTATCTGAGAAAGAAGGTAGAAGCTTCCCTACAACCTTTAAAACAACACAGATACTGTACACCTGCTAGGACACAAAATATTGTATTTCATGGATATAATGTGGGATATTCTGAGATATACAGTATGCACTGTTGCTATAACAACATCAGGAGTGCTACAGCCATAGCATTAAAACTGCAGATATTTGTGATGGAGTTTGATTTGTAAGTAAAGGGACAGCAGCTCTGAAGGCTGTAATGAACAGAAACTTAAGGTCAGATCAAGTGCTTTTACTTTACAGGGAGAAGGGGGAAAATAATAACGAACTGCAGGATTTGAGCAAAGGCTCAAATAAGCATTAGCCAGCAGTAATAACCACTCAGCGTGAGCAACTGCCTTAGCACCAGTTCTGCTACCCTTAACACATTCGGTTTTGCTGTAATGAAAAAACATGGCCTGTATCAAAATGTCAAAGCTTTTTTTCACCTCTCATATGACTAAGCACATAAGGCTGAGCTACCATCTACAAGGCACCCACCTGAGAACTTGCTCTTTTGTTCCCAGTATATCTTGGGAAAGATGAGCTCGTTCTCATTTCCTCGCTGCAACGTGTCAATGTTCTAGAGAAATGACAAGCGCTGTGGTCTAGGGTAATCTACCCTAGATGAGCAGGTAGCAAGCTGCCTCTCATGTATATTTCAGACTTAATAGTTTTGGTGTCTCCTGGAATTTTATCAGGGGAGATCTTTTCTAACAACACCATGTGAGGCAGAACACTCAGAGTTCAGTCTTTATTGCATTTACTCTTCAGCTGGCTCAGGATCCCACTGCTATTTTCATTGTTTGAGTCACCCAAACATTGACTGATTTTGTACAGGAACAATTTGTGTAGAAACCTATTTTGAGAAGGAAGAGGTGCAGAGACTGCAAGTTAGGAAATTCAGCCTGTTCTCAAATTAGTGACAAAAACCTCCTCATCAGGGTAAATGCCAAGATACAGTGGCCATGAGTCACAACTGTTGTTCTCCATTTTATAAGATTTCAATTCTTATGAGCTGCTAGTGGGATGTAGATAGAAGCATGATGATGCTAACCTTGAAACACTGAAATTAAGCCTCCCTTTCCTGCATGAGACCCCAGCAATCACCACATTTTTAGTCATATGCCGTCATTTAGACTTATCTGTTCTGTACCATTATTTCAGGAGACTGAATTAGCACCTGGACCAGAAAGCAGGTATTTTCTATATATAGAAATAATATAAATATATATTATATTATATATATTCTATATTATTATATATTATATTATATGTATATAAATATATATATAGGTAAAAGTGAGAACAGTCAGAAGCTCCAGAAAGTCTGCATCCCACCGTAAGCAGTATGTTTTTTTAATTTCAAGAGTTATATTAAATAAATCTCATTTACAGATTGTGGGTTACTATCTCCTTTTTGATTTCCTGTATTTCTAGTATGATCTAGGGATAGGGATTATTATGAATATCAACAATCTTATCAAAGTAAAAATTAGGTAGTGTGCACTCTGTGAGAATTTGTTGAACTTATTTTTCCACCATCTGAAAAGAAGTGATGGGTCTCATCGAAGAGGCACAAATTAACAACCAAAGCCCAGTTTAGGTAAGCGTTGTCTTCTTTTTTCAGACAAAACTTATCTGTTCATGCCAGCCTGATAAAAACAGCGATGTACCAATACAAACAAATTAATCTCATGGTCACGCAGTTTACAGTTTTGCAAACATTTGCAATGGTATGTTCATTGCCACTTCACAATGAAGCTTAATTGGCTGTAGATAATGAAATTGTATATTATACACCTGGCTTTGCTGTAATTTCAATTAACATTGCAGACACTGTAACCTATCATTATGCTGAGTAGGCATGAGTTCACACATGTTGTCTACCTGGCTCCAGAAAACATCAGCTTTATGACAGACTAAGTTCACCGTTACTGTGCTAACCATCTCCCAATGTCAAATTCAGAAACTGGTAAGCATAAGTTGTGAAACCTGGCTAATGCAGATTCAAGCTACTCTTCGCAGTGCTGAGAGCTAACTCCATATATTGTACGTTATGAGCACTGCAACTGGGCCACCCCAGGGGCTGCAGGATGGCCCTACAAGGGGTAGGCACTGCCTGGGCACAGTATTGTCTGTCTCATTTCCCTTTTCCATGGCCATCAGTGTGAGCAAAAATCCAAGAGGAGACAATAGTGGAATCAATAAGGTGTATTTATCTATTCATTAACATATGCACATTCCCATCACCATTACTGGCAGGATCTCTTACAGTAATCCTCACCTGAAGACATAATTACACAAGAATGATGGATCTACTTCACTGGCAACAGAAGACTAAACCCATCTTGTTTTAGAAATAAGCAAATCCGTTTCATCCTTTGAACCAGCACAAGATACTACCTTTGCTGAGAAGGCTTAAACGGTTCTTGGAATTTGCAGGATTCAGACCATTGTAACTAATATTTAACTCTCTGAATCTCCTTCCCCCTTTATATACTGCAGCAAGGAATACTATGTTTGTCTATTATTTACTCATTAGGAGAAGAGCTATAACAGTAAGACATCTCTCAGGTTAGATGGATGTCAGTCTACCCCAAACACAGCAGATCCTGCCCCTCTGCAAAGCTGGTATCACGTGCCTGTGCCCTCCATGCAGCTAAGTGTGTGCATTGCCTCTGAGAAACTGGAACACTGCAGATGAAGAAGCAGTGAGGTAAAACACCTTCCACATCAGGCATAAAACCACTGTTTAATTAGAGGTGTGGTAACTACACTTGAACATGACCTGTGCTGGTTTTGGCAGAGCCAGCCGGGGTACAACAAGGCGGTGACTGCACAGGCTCGCTGTGGGCTGGGTGCACAGCCAACAAACCTGCATCTCCACAGTGACACCAAAGCATATTTTAGTCCAAACTACTGGTTTGTCAACATCAGGGTACATAACATGACAAAAAGCTGGGGGATACTCCCTCATAATCTTTTTCCCCCCTGTTGTTCAGCTTCCCTGTTAAAGACCAATCTCAGCTGCATCTTCCTCTCGGTTTCCAACCAGAGCAACCTCAGTTTTCAGAGAGGACCAAACTGCCCCCAGGCAGGGCCTTCCTTTGGCTCCACTGCCTCCAGGGACCTCACAGAGGCAGAAGCGGAGCTGTGGGGACTGGGAAGCAGAGGCTGTGCCCCCAGGCACCCCCAATCCCTCATCCTCCTGCCCAGATGCTCTGTGCAGCACCACACGCCTCACAGCGCCCATCCGGCCTGCACCTCACAGCAACCCCAAAGGGTCGGGAGTGCTCAGCACGCACAGCTCAGCCTCAAAGACCAGGCTCGGAGGAGCCACGGTCTCTGTGCAGCTGATTTATATGGTCTTGTACAAAGCTACAAAACCAGGCATTTACTCCCTCCTCATACCAAACATGTTCAGCAAAAAGATTCAGCGACCTGGTTGCCCAGGCCTTCCCAGGCATTGAGGGGAAACTTCCCTCAGCACCCAAAAGCTGTGGACTGGTGTAGGCAGCCAGTAATCACCAGGAGTAATGTCATGGCAGACCAAGACACACCATCGTACTGGCATCTGCTTTGCTTACCAGCTGAGCTCCCAGGTAGTCTGTAACTAGCAACCCACATTTCTTTCCAAACTGAAATATCTACAGCTGTAGTACAGAAAAAAAACTCAGCAAATAAATACAAGTGCATTGAGATCATCATTCCTGAACATCCTCAGATGTTGAGAAAGTTCAAAGGGAGCTGGTTAAGCAAAGACAGAAAGGGGAGAATAATGTTATTCGGTATAGTATGTTAAAATCAAACCAAATGAAACTGGAACATGGAAAGGATATTATCCATAAACGAAAATACCGATGTCTTTGCATCAAAAGCTTTAAAACAAAGAAAAGAGTAACAAAGCAAAAGCTTAGAAAATGTGCTGTACCACAAAACAGACTTTCCACTAGGAAAGGCATAAATTTAAAACAGTATAGAAACTGAAAAGAAAAAGAGCAAGCAAAGAGGGACAGTAACAGTAAGCAGGAGAACAACAGAAAAGAGCAGTCTTGTCAATCCTCATCTTTCTAAAAACCAGGATTCTGCCTCTAAAATGCATGAAATAATTAAAAGAAAACAAAGAAAACAAAAACTGTAGGCTTTCAAGAGACTGAAAGGTTGGTATTTTTTTCCTCCTTAAGTAAAGAATGGGTTTAACCTCATTTTGTTTATTAAAGATTTTGACTGTGTGCAGAGCCTGAGCTTGGGTGTGCCTTGCTTGGCACTGAGTTGCAATATAAACAAACTCCAGCTGTGATGCATGAAAAGCCCAGGAGCAGAGGAGAGCATAACATCTCTAATTAATGTCTGTTTGGACCTAAAATGAGGCTTTGGAGACTCCAGATAAACTTTAGTACAGAACATATTTCTAATGGGAATTAGGAACTGAATAAATAAGAGTTTGTCACTGTGGAGCTCTGGGTATATTTGCAAAATGGATATGGCAATGAGATCAGACTATTTGTCTGCAATGTGCACAGGCACAGTCATTCTTGTGTCACCTTTTTCAGTGGCAATAACTACGGCAGGTCAAGAAAAGGAGAGATGTGAAGGAGTACTGTATTTAATTTACCTTCAGGTCTACACTTTGAGCACTGCAACTATGCCTGGGTTTGACTTGAAACATAAACCACAAAGTATGGGTTCATGCCACTCTGACACAGACAGTTTTTCAACGTAGATAGGCTTTTCAAACAGAAGAGTAAAACCATCTGAAAGCCAGCTCTGAGTGGGGAAAAACAAGGCCAGGTTTCCCAAACTTTCATTAAACTCACAAGCTGGAAAATAATTATAACCTTTCTGTTCTACGTGCATATCAAGAAGAAAACACAGGGAGCTCACGGTGGCTACTGGAAAGCTAAATTTGTTTGCACAAACTGTCCCCCCATCTCTGCTCCACTGTCCTCAGAGCCCAGAATTTTTCCTTCATTCCATATTCCCCTGTCAAGGATTAATAGCCTGAGATAAAAGCACACTTAAAGATAGTCTATAAATTCCATATGCCTGAACTTCCAGTCAAGCCAGGATATTTGTTCTTCCTTACCAGACAATGCTACATGCTTCTGAGCTGTTTAGTTTTACCTAGGCTCTTATTAGTGTCTGCTTGCCCAGGCTTGGCCATAAGTGCTTAGATCTAGAATAAAAAAGCATCCAACTCACCACACTGTTATGCAACATACTTTCTACTCGTCAGCAAAACATCACAACAGGTCTGGCTCTCAGGCCACTGGTTTGGAGATGCAGTGACTGGGACAGACCTGCAGTGGGAGCCAGTTGTAGAAAGCAACAGGAGCTGTAGCTGATTAGGGACAGTGAGGTGATGGTGGCAATGAGTTCAGCTAACAAAAAAGGTGCTATAGAAAAAAAGATATATTTTTTTAGCTTCCAATGCATTAGAAAACACCTAAGACATCCAGAGTGCATCAAAAGTGTGCTTTTGATCCACAGGTGCATATGATGTGATGTATCATAGAACCAGTATGCTCACAAAGTGCAAAAATTAATTATTCAGTGACCACAAATACACATACACACTGAAGTAAGTCAAGATAATACGAAGTCATAAGCCAAAGCATAAGCATAATGCTGTAGCATTGACATCTATGAACCATCTAGCCCAAGTTGCCTGTAACAGGCTTGGCTCTAACCCAGCACTTCCAGTCAGCCAGCTTCCTGAAGTACTCATTTTCCAGCCAGGTCACAACTTTCAGAAGTGGATTCTTCCAAACAGAAGTTACCAATGCTCCATGCAAGGCTCCATCTCCATTCAGAAATGCTTTGTGAACAGGAAGTTTATTTAATCCAGTTTCCTGTTTTCATCATCCCCAGATGATCGTTTCAATTACTTACTGAATGGTTCATAATGAAAAGAAATAACTAATCATCAAGATTTTGAGACACAGTATTACCAACATAATTCCTTGAAGTTCCATCAAGTGAGACATGAAGATTCAATACCAGACAATCCCATCTTTCAGGTTATAATAGTTTTCCGATATTGTATAAAATAAGACAGCCTGCACTTCACGTCAGGATCGAATCATCCTATCAAAAGCAGGGAAAATTAAGATGTATGGACGCTTGTCACTGGCAATCATTTACTGACTATGGTAAAAGGTCTTATCTGTTCAAGGTAGAAACTAAACTTTAAAAATAACATTAGGAAAACACATTATTTTAAGAAATACTTTGATTTCTACATGCCAATGAAAGCCAAGAAGCCCGTAGGAAAGTCATGGCCTCATATAAAGTATCAAAAGTTATTCTATCCCTTAGAAATGCCTCTGTTCCTTGGAGTAAAGTTTTGAATAATGCTCAACTTAACGTCTTGTTTCAACCAAACCTGGAACAGTTAATAACAGCACAAGAACAGACTGTGTGGAAATAATTTGATCAGATTATGCAACACTAGGAGAAATTTTTGTTATTCCCAAAGAGACTATGTTTACCACCAGTACAGATCTGCATGAATTAAAAACCTCTGATTGTTGTTACCTCTGATGTTTTTCCATCTCAGTTATTTCTGGTTACCTCACAGTTCCTCAGCTGTTATCAGGCTCCCCAGTAAGTTAGGAATTGATCTGCAATAGATGGTAAGCAGTGGTAACCTTTGTCCCTACATTTCCAGGGCATGCTCCAGCTGAACCCTTCACTTTTTGTTTGCATGCCATGGTGCCAAATGGCTAACCACAAGAGCAGAGAGTCTGCAGAAAGTACTATCATCATCCTCACCAGTGGAGCACCAAGCAGGTGATAAAATGAAAGCCTAAGCTGAGTAAGTACAGGGTGGAGCTTCCTATGGCTTTGAGAGGTCTGAAACAATATCACAAAGCTAATGAAAGCAAGTCCCACTCAAATGTCTCTCAAGGGAATGAAAAGAGCTTTTTCCACCCAACTACCTGAGTGCAACCTAAAGTGCAATCTAAGCTGTGAGCAGCTTTCTGGCAGCTTGCCAGAGATATACTTGGTAAGAAGTGCAGCAAATGGACTTTAATCAGAAAAATATATATATATTTTAATTCTATTCTTCATCTACACTCAACATACCTAATGGCCCTCAATAAGAAGCTAAAAAAAACACCCTCCCATGGAGCTGTGCTGTTCAACCACAGACTGAACAGTCTCGTACAGTACTCATAGCTCAGGCTATCTGCACTCTGTGAACAGAAGGTGATATGGATGGATGGACTAGAGATCTCCAGTATCAGAGCCTTCAAATATGCACACTTCATCAGTGCTAAATTCACTTTACAGAGCCATTTACAACGAGTGCAAGAAAAATACAAATGCTTATGCACTGAGAAGAGACTTTCACTTGTCTTTCACAAATACTCAGCTCCACTTCAGTGGATTTAGTTGGCTTAAGATTTGAATTTTAAGGAGAATGAATAAGCAGTAAGTAGGCTGCACTCAGCACAACAGAAAGCGAGGTGGCACAGCATCTCTAAACAATTCAGATGCACCAAGGTGAAATCCTGACACTGTGCATCCATGACACAAATCCCACTGACTTGAACAGGGCTGGGATTTCTCAACATTTTGACCAAGATAGATATTACTACTAATAGAAGAGTTGTCTAATGCCTGCATTATTCAAAGACAGATAGAAAATTTAGAAAGAAAAGAATCGTGATAGTAGGTTTACAGGTTTCTGTAACATGCAAGGACACGAAGACTTAACTTTCTAAGTTTCTTTACATTATAACAGATTACTAGAAGTAACCACTAGAAGGTATATCTATGATTAATAAAGCAAGTATATATCAAGCTATTACAAATTACCAGGAAAGAAAGTATATATAGTCGATAGCATAGCACCAGTCAATAGTATATCAGATAGTGAGTGTGTATGTACATATATATAAATATATGAATTATATGTTATAAATACACATATAAATGTTACAGTTACTACAATGTAAAGTTGTAAATATACTTATGATTGACTACTTATATGCATATTTGTAGATTTTATATATATATATATATATATATAGTTCAAAATGTTACCTCATCAAACCAGTCCCAGAAGTGAGGCCAATAAAACAACAAAGACTCATTTTGAAGATGATCTGTGTAACAGAGCTTGGAGTCTGCAAGGCATCCTCAGCAAAGGTTCCTTTTTTTTTTTTTTAGGAAGTCCTGTAGGAAAAGGAAAAAATCCTGCAGCGTGGGAAGATGTCACAGAGAGAGGCTCCATTTTGAATTTTTTAAGAAGTTATTTTTATATCACAGAGACATAAGAGGGTGTAGGACACTACCACTTATAGCAGTCATACTGCTAATTTCTGTTTTTCACCTGAAACAGACAATAGATAATGTTTCCTATTTTCTCAGAGGAAATTTTAATTTTCCCAGACTACTCTTCTGGTCTTTCAGCTAAAACAGCCAATAACTGTTGCTGATTCCTACCTTCTCAATATGTTTTCCTCTTTTCCAGATGATACAGCTCCTTGTTTTTGCCCTTGTCAATGGTATCTGACATTTCTGACATTTTTCCCTACCTCAATCTGCAGAGCTCCATTCTCAGCTTGAGAGAACAGCCATATTGATATAACGTGGGGATCACCTCCCTTTAGCTTCATTACTAATATTCTAAGACATGCTAAGTTGCTTCACTTTACCTCAGACATTGTATACGAGGTGTTTGCTAGGATGCCTAAGTAGCATCCCACAGAGGAAGAAGAGTGCCAAACAATATTTCATACCTCAGTGGCTGAGAGCAAGAAATGATAAAGCTTAGGCTACATGATCCATTCACTACTTATTCAGTGGCTTTATGACGCATGCCATCCCCTCTTCAATAACGTGAATCTCTTCCCTTCCCATCTTCTGCTCCTCCCATAACCTGATATGGATCAACAGTGAATTCAAGGGCTGTCCGTGGCTTCACAGGAGCACAAAGTGGAGTGCATGGCATCTAGGGAGACATACTGATCCAAGGGCCATATGGTTTGCCACATCACCAACAAGTGAATGACAGGGTTTCTTCTGGAGGAACAGGTACATTAAAAAGAAGGAAAATTGCTGTCTTGATATGAGAATGCTGTGATGTCTGGACCAGATCCAGAGTTAAACCTGCTCTGTGGTAACAGCAATGACTGAAGAAGAAAAGAAAGACGAAGATATCATGCTGAGGATTTACTGAAGTTCTGTGGATGAGGCTTCCTGTGAAAATGCACACACACCTCAATGGCAAGGTCATGCAGAGCACTGAAAGCAGTAATTGCAGAGATACAACTGCCCAGACTGCTTTTGGGAGGGGAGTACAGCGGGACATAGGCCTGTGAATAGCAATAATAAAAATGCTTTCTGATACAGGAGAATGGAAAAGGAACACGAGGAAGGACTGGCAGATTTGTTTTAACATAGAAGGAGGAATCAGATGAGAAATTAAAGGTGACAGCAACCAAGAAATGATAGACTGAGTGATCCCTAGGAAGGCTGAGGAAAAAGTTACCTTGTCTTACATGTAATTTCTGTAAATTCATAAAAACGTGGCTGTTTTGAATTCTTACTTTGAGTTTAGGGAAAGAGAAATTAGGGTGCCAGTAACCCAAATAAGTTACACTGAAAACCTAAGCACAAGTGGTCCTAAAGCAGAAAAGGAGAAGATGCATAGCAAAAAAAGTAATTTAGGTAAGTTGCAAGCTGTTTATTATTAAAAGGGGAAAGTGTATAGAAAACAATCTGGGTCGTGCTACTAGAGATGAGTACAAAATAATAGCAGGAGCATCTAGGGACAAAATCAGAAATAGCAATACAAAGTCCGATGTAACTAGAAAGGGACATTAACAGGAATACTTCACTGCTTCAGGAATAGGAAATTTAGAATAGGAATTTAGAAAAGAAGAAAACTAATCAGAAAATGCCAACAAGTCCAACATGTTTACAGAATCACAGAATTTTCTAGGTTGGAAGAGACCTCAAGATCGTCGAGTCCAACCTCTAAGCTAACACTAACAGTCCCCACTAAACCATATCCCTAAGCTCTTTAATACCATTATATAGGAGGTCACGCTAGAAATATCAGCAGAATGCAGATGGTTAATACTATACCAACAACAATAGAAAAAAAAAAAAAAGAAAAAGAAAAAAAAAGATTATATATGGCACAGTTATTCAAGTATTTCTAAGAAAAATATGTGAAAAGTAGTTAAAATTAATTAAACTAAACAATTCACAGGTGAGTTGAATTTTTTAACCAAGCCCCAAGCAGAAGAATAAGTTATGATAACTTAACCATCATACCTGTAGGGTATAACGTTTGTTCCAGAATAATTTTAAAAACATAAATTAACCTCAGAAGTGTTAGTGGTCATCCTGGAGAAATCAGAGAATATAGGTAACTTCTGACAGACAGAAAATCTACTGCATCCTTAACAATGAATGGAAAAAAGAAAAAAAAAAAAAAAAAAAAAAAAGGTTGGAAATTAAAAACCTGTCAAGTTCATTTACCAGAAAATTAGTACAATAAATCTGTACCATCTATAAATCCACTGCCCTCTACTAGAGCAGATGAACAGTAGAGAACAAATCATACCAAGCCAATCTAATTTCCTTCCACAACAGACCAATTGGCCTTGTGGACAGGGAAGAAGCAATAGATGTCAAAACTTGATTTCAGCAAGGGCCTTTGATGCTACCCAACATGACATTCTTGTAAGTGAGCTGAAGAAGCAAAGATTAGATCAAACTGCTACAGAATGGCTGCAAACATCACCAGACTCTAGTCCTAAAGGGTAGCAATCCACAGTTTCCTGTCTAAAAGGAAAGATGCATTGAACTGGATATTTCATGGATAACAGCACCACTTCCAACTTCACTCAGTGCTTTCACTAATAATTTGGGCAATTGAATAAAAACTCTGCTTATTAAATTTGCGTATTACAAAGCTGGGAGAACTGCAAGTACACTGGAAGACAAACAATTCAAAATAAACAAACTGGGGAAGCAATCTGGAAAAAGAGTCAAATTGAATAGGAACTTAATGTAGAGCATTGAATTTTCATAATGATAACCAACTGAATGAATTTGGGACAGCAACTAACTGGCTAGGGAACAGCTCTTATAGGATGGGAATACAATAGATATCAATCAGAAGGCAAGTCAACATAATGCCACTGTGGAAAAGGCAAATATCAGCCAAAGCTGTATGAACAGGATTATTTCATGTGTCTTTCAGAATACAATCTTTCAGTTTCAGTTGGTGCTGATAAGGCCTCAGCTGAGATAGCATCCAGTTTCAGAAAAGATTTGAGAAATTATTTGAGGCAGCTTAGCTTATAGAAGATCGTTAAATCCCCACCTCATCCTTCCAGCCTTTGAGGATGTAAAAACGTGTTGAAAACAAAAAATAAAATAACATAACATAACATAACATAACATAAAGGAACAATCAGTCATCTTCACACATAATGTACAGGACAGGTAGGAAAAAGCTTAAATGGAAGCAGGGTTGTGGTTAGAGATGACAAAATCATACAGCCCCACCCCAGAGCAGCTTACCTGCTTTGCTCGTTTATTTGTGTATGCATATGATGAATATGAAAAGCATCTTGAAAGACAGATACACAAGGACAAGAATAATTGGAAGACCCTTTGGCTCTCGAAACTGCTGACCCACTGATGATCATGAAAACTGATTATCTTCCCTTCAGAACTGCATTCCTTTTTGTAGTACTAACAGTCCCGAAAATGAATCTCTAATTGGAGCAGAGCTCTGCAAAACCACACAGCTGGGAACATCTGGGGGAATCAGCTGTTTCCTTTCCACCAGAGCCGATTCCCACTCTTGCTGACCACATGTTAGCAGGAAACGTCCTCATTAAGGGGCACTGCTTGGGGTGTCTTTGGTTGATGGCTTCACGAGGAGGGAGAAGGCTGATCTGAGCTAGAAGCCTTAAACTTGCAGCTCACTTAAAAATGTAGCAGCTTGACGTTTGTAATCCACTTCACATTCTGGCTTGTTATACCAGTACATCAAGCTGGTCTGACAAACAGGCTAATTAAACAGAGAGCAGTAACTACTTTCGCAAGCTTCACCCACAATGTAGGGGTGAGTTCTAATTCCTTGAGTGCTGCCACTCAAGACATAAGTCACCGTGTTTAGGGTTGTTGCCAGGGGTTGCGGGGTTCAGACGTGGTTACCTTGACATACCAGTTGAGTTGCCACCAGGAAACCTGTCTCATTCCCACAGTGAAATTTTCAATCAGGTGTAAATCAAAGCTGAGAAGTAGTGCACATGGGACCAAACACACAGTGTGGATTGTGGGATGCCTAGCCTGAAACGTGCTAAAAAGGAAGGTATAGCCTCCCTGATAATCTTCTAAATTCATTCAGATGTGAAAACAGGGGCTGGAAGCTGGGTCTCCTCAAGTGAGTGTCCATATTCATTTTAGCAACACAGCCAAAGCTGGTGCCAGCTTCAGCTAGCAAGGCTAACCACATCGCTTACTCCTGAGACTGGACATGGTGACAACAGAAATGCAAGTTACACAAATCCTTGGTTTTGCTGAGATCTCAGAGCCCTTAAAGCCCAAAGATGCTAAAAAATTGCCTCCAGCAAGAGCAGAAGCTCCCACCCGCTCCTTTCACCTACTGCAAAAGGACAAAAAATGAAGGTCTCATCCCTGAATGAAGGCTCCTAAGTAGCATTTTTAAGTGTTCCGACACCTACAAAAAGATCTTTAAGTTCTTTATGGAGTGTTTTTTCTTGTTGATGAAAATCCAGGACAGTGAGACAAAGTATTCCATTTTAATAATTTGTCTTAACCACACATCATTCAGGAATTCAGAAAAGAATTATCTACAGAAATCCTGCAATAAATAAAAGGAAAGAAAATAACTGCAAAAGCAGTCTTGCTTTCTCTGGTTTACAGTTTCAGGCCTTTCATGAGAACAATCAGCTCTCATAAATAAGCAATTTTCAAGTTCCACAGGGAACAGCTTCAAACTGAATTAGTGGAAATCAGATTCTCCTTTCTGCTCTCTCCCAGAACCAATACTTCACAGAAAACAGAGACATTACGATTTCTTAATAAGGGAGTCGTTCATGACAATGACACTGCCTCTGGTACAAGAGTCCCTGGCTGTGGATAAGGATGAATCAACCTTTGACCCCGGTGGCTAACACAGGAACC